GTGTCAGGAGTCAGCTGGGGCATGGGCTGTGTGCTGAATGCTGGTGGAACGACGTCTGCAAATATCTTCTCTGTGCGGAGCTGGGTTATCTTAACAGACTTGGCGTCTTCTGTTCATAGGCTGCAGCGGCAGCGGTCACCTCACTCCTGCTAAAGAGAAAAGGTCAAAACACAGAGCAGCATCTGGAAGGCTAGAAGGGGGAAAAGGTGCCACATACTTTGTGGTCAGATCCAAGTCCGCATTGGAACTGATAATATGGTGGTGGTGGATAAAGATGACAACAGACACTGGGCTTTCCCATTGCATAGCAAGAGATTAGGGCAAGGTGCTGTGGTCAAAGGGACAGTCTGGAACTCAAAGAGCAGGAGAATGATGTTTTTGGGTTCAGTGAAGAAAAAAAGGAGGAGTGATGCACTGGACAATGCAGGATTGAAACTGTAAGTCTGGAGAGACTTTGTCAGATCTGAACTCAATAAATACTTGAGGCAAAAAGGACTGCCAACCATCCAGCCATACCTGCACATATTTTATTGAATCAACAACCACTTCCCTGCCAGCTGGACTGTAGAGTCATCTGCAATATAATCCCCAAACACCTGATTAGCAGAAAGATTAGGCTACAGCAACAAAAAGTCATTCTGAGGACAGTGGGGAAATGCAGTCTGGAGATGATAAACTCACAGAACGAGTGAGGGTCCCGCCTGGGCTTTGGAAATGTTGCTGCCACACAGACGTGCCACCCACAGCATTGCAGAATAAGCAGGGACATGACCGTGGTATAATACCGGGATACACTCCACTTCAGACAGGGGGACAGTCCTCCCACACCTTGTCTGGCAGCCCAGGCCGCCTCTGCAGAGGTGGATGGATTCAGGGCAAGTTTTGTTTAGTCTTGGTGGAGCCGTTAAATAATGAACAGGCAAGCCTTCAAAGAAGAAGCATTAATACACCTATAAAAAACAACGCAGAATGGATCAGCAGCCACATCAAGGAAGGAAAAAATGTCCAAGAAAAGTAAAGAGCAGCTTATCTTAAATGGAGGAGCCACTTAGCCGAGCACTATAAAGCAACTTCTCAGCATTATCAGTGCTTCAGGATGGGCCAGCTCATCTACCCGGAGCAAAAGTGCCCTGCAGCTGGGAGATGAAAGGTGGCTGCTGGCACCCTGCACCAGACAGGAACACTGTGGCCAGCAGTTTCAGGCAAGCAGGGAAGAGCTGTGCTCAAAAACCTGAAAAATAATTTTCCGCACATTCAGAGTCCTCCTTCAACTTCCTGCTTTTGTACTTGGGATGGATGGTATAAATCAGCTCCAAATGAAGAGAGGCTGAAAGATGCTTAAAATATCTTAGGATATTAAATGAATAACAAATCAAAACAGAGAAACGCAGGGAGCTGCTGTGTGTAACACAGACTGTTGCACTGGAAATTAAAACATTAGTTCTGCTTTAATTCAGCTGTGTACTTACCATCACCCTTGCTTCCTGTGTGGGCATCCTCCCGGCCTCCCTCCAAGTTTCTGCTTTCTCCTCCAGGTCCATTGAACACACACAAGTCCCATACAGGCTACTTTGCTTGAATAACCACTAGAGAAGAACCTGAGGAGCTTCTGAGGAACCCAAAGCCCTTCAGGTATCTGTGTTCCTGATCACATGAGGTTGAGTCATTTTATAAAGACTGATATTTACTCTTTTGAACATCCTCTTTCTCTCAGGCTGTCTCAAATATGAAAAGAAAAATAATCTCTGCAGCTGCCCTCCAACAGGTTAGAGTTATGGAGCCACACAATAGTGTTACATGTTTTCTTGTTCTCCAACAGTTTTTCTCCCAGATGTGATGGAGTAAGCAGTCTCAAATATTAGCCAGTTCAAGCACTAATCTCCGTATGAGAGAGACCCACAAAAACATGGTATGGATTGCAGCTTCATTCATAGGCAAGAAAAGCTAAATCTATGACTAATTGTTGTTTAGGAAAACTGCATACTTGAGAATGGAAGAGTCTCCTCAGAGGGGAAATGGGAATTTGTTCCATCCCAGGACTTTGAAAGAACTCAACCCAACCCCTTTTCAAATCTAAAAGAGCTTATATAAACCCACAGGAGAGTTTACCTCTCTCCTGAACTCCATTTGAGTAAGAGAGTAGATGTTGTCTTTGGCTGTCCTGAGGTCAGAGGTTTCCCCGAGGTCAGGGAAAGGAGTGATATATTTTGAGGTACAGCTTCTTCAGAGAAACCTTAGAGATCGTAAGGCTGGAAAAAAGCTCTTGGCCAGACCCCAGCAGAGAAAGCACCTGACCTGCTGAGACTCCCAAATGCAGCATCTCTACGTGAAACATCACTGCTGGGCGCCAAGGAGTCTAATGGAGATCAAAGACAGAGCTTGGGGAGAAGGAGAAAGAATCAGTAACGACGGGACAAGGCTGGGAAGAGGGAAAAGGAACCACCTGATCTGAGAGGCTTCAGAATGCAGAGAACGACCTGAGAGCCTTGGGGAAAACTCAGCACAAAGTGTTTTTACACATCTTATCCAGAGGGAACAACGCTATACGTAGCTGGCATCTTCAGCAGGATCCAATGGAAATGTCATTTAAAGAGGAAAGAGCTGTGGCCAGGTCCCAGACGCGTGGGCTCACAGAGTGCTCACACCTGCAGGCTGCTCTGCTGCTCATGCCATCCCCATAAGCGCACGAGCAGACTCAATGCACATCCAAGGTGCACTTCTGGCTTACGCACTTCCAGGCGAATGGTCGGCACCTCTTCAAAGCCATTGCACTGTGCTGTAAGTATAAATCCTTGCTTTCATTGTGGCTTCAACCACACCTTTTTTTTCCGAAAGAGCTTATTTCACTACTTGATTGATACCTAACCCAACCCTTGGGGCAGAGGGAGCAGGAGTTTATAGTGACTGTATGACCATAATGATGTTATCCATTAGCCCTCATTTCCACAGCCCTTCCTGACTCAGCTCTGATATTACTAGGCTGGGACTTAGCATCTTGCTTTTCCTTCCGAGCGTGCCAAGGTGTTTTTTCAATAATGTGTTTTAATCATGTTGCTTCTTCTAGCACTAATGGGCCCTGACCCAGGTTCTATCAAGATTGAAGTACCACCTTCCTGCTATTCCATTAATATAGGTACGTTCAGAACTGAGACAGATGCTGGATTCTGCTGGGTGCTGATTTCTGGGGAGCAGATCGGAGCATCACTAGATATTGTTCATCCTTTGTGCTTACTTGCTCTCCTTGCTCTTTCCAGTGTGCAAAGCATGCTGCATTAAAGCTGTGATGCTAGCTAAATTTGCCTCATCATTTGCCCATTGAAATAAAAGATTATTAGAGTATTAAAATGTCATTTAGTAGCTGCCATTTACACAGCTTGATCATTAAAGATTCCAAGCTCTGGTTGGCTGAGAGCTAAGAAAGTCATTAGCCCAAAATAGAATTTAAGGCCCCAATTCAGCAAAACAGCTACCATGTGCTCATATCCCGTTAAATTCAGTGAATTTTAAGTATGCAGGTTTGAGGGTTGATACGTAGTTAATTGGCTATTACTGCTTCTGTATCATTGTTTCAAGTTATAGTTTTTGATGCCACAACATTTCCTGTAAAACAAAAGAGAAGCCGTCAAAGTCAGAACTCCAGGCTTTATGTTGCTTTAGAAATTATTGTCCTTCCACTCCTACCATAAATAAATTAGTATGTGAAGGAGGATGACAGGGACTGCACTTTGATTGCTGTTGACTCCAGTGTCACCTTTCGGCAAGGCTGAAAAAATTAAATGGACTCACAGAACACCTGCATCCCTCGTGTTTTATGTTACTCAATAGAGCTTTTTGTGGTGGCTTCTTTGTCACTCTTCATCGATGCTATCGTAGATTAATTGGCACCACTGCAAATATTCACAGCTGTCTACAAGATGTTGGTGAGTGCATCATGTCAGTCATGCATGCCATCACCAAGGAGATTAATTTATTTCATTCTTCAGGAAGATAGGTCTGAAATATGACCTAATAAAACCAAATCTTTCAGCAAGAGTTGGCAGAACAACCATCAGTTCTCAGGTTAAACCGAAAGAGCCAAGCTCATGCTGATACTGTTATTATTTTAACAGTTATGCACTGAAATTTTAATAAAGTGGTCATGGGACAAATACTCTTACATAATGGAAGCAAGGTGCCTATTAAATTTGACATGTATAGAACTTTTTACTCATATGCCTCCAATCTGGTGAGAAAGGGTTGCAGTCATGTTTTATATACATATATACACATATATGTTTTGTAAGAACTGTAATAACAGCATTTTATATGGTAGGTACGGTGGTTATTGTTCTCTGATTCACTTAAGCATTTCAGGCAAATGAACTTTGACACATGCATGAGTTTACTGCGATGCTTTTGTGCTTTGCCAAACACATCTAAGCTGCTGCAGCAGTTGCTTAGAGGCCAGGCATCGCTTTGGGGATCCATGTCTGAACCATAAGACTACTAAGGTCAACACCCAGGTTTCTGCATAGAGACCTCTTGGTGAACCACTAGAGAATTAACATGAAAGATGGTATGTGGAACCTTGAGCCAAATTCACACCTAATTTCTGTTCTGGCCCGCTCTTTGAAATTGGTGGGGGAAACAGGCTGCAGGTTGGAACAGTTAGCTCACTTCTTCAAATTACCTGGGATGACAGGGAATTTCTGCTTTATTTTTAATACTTTTTTTTAAAGCAAACTCAGTAAGTTTATTTGATTCTACCAGCTCATGTAAAAGAAGTATTGCTTTTTCAGGCTGCATGGGCATCTTTGATGAGGCTGAGGGTGCTAGGCTGGGTGTAGCTTGCAGGGGACAGGGCCACCCACCTGCAGCCTATCCACAAGTCAGCCCTGATAAGGGCAGAATCTGCTCGGGTTGATAGGGGTAGCTACACCCTATGATTAGCACACATCCAGCTGTTGCCTATCAGAGGAAGGATTGAAAAAATTAGCCAAGGGCCGCAGCAATCCTTTGGTTAGTAGATGATTGCTGGCTCACAAGGTTGGGGTGAAATAAGGATCCTGGATTCCCCTGAGAAAGCCCCAACACCTCAACTACCTTATGACCTTTCCTGCTCAAAACCAGAAGATCTGCTTATGTGAGGTTTTTTTTTCCCTCAAGGTAAAGAATTGGTTTGTCTATATTTTGATTTAAAATGTTTCTGTAATAAGAAAGTTCTCCCTTATTCATTTTTTCCAAGAGCTCTTTGCAAAAAGTCTTGGGGTGTATTTCTTGAAAAACTATGGTTCTGTTGTCTGACTATAGGTTTTCCATAACAAAAGCGGTATAATATATCCTGTTAAATGATATATTGACTTTCCATAACATGTTGCCTGCTTAGTGTAGCTAGAAAGGAGTCATTATACCCTCTATCAAGTTTCAGAAAGTAGGAACCTTCAATTATGTCTGCACTACATTTTTTTGTTGTTGTTTTTAAATGACAATATGATTTATCCGAAAACACTAACCAGATTCATTTTGATTTAGCTCTACAAACAAAAAGAAAGCTGGCATTTGCAAGCCTTGATATTTTCTTCTTTTAAACTCCAGTCTAAATGTCTTTATAGTGATTGTTCAATGCAACCTCAGTTAAAAGCTCATTGTAAGGTTATTATTCTAGTATTTCTCCTGAATGATAAGCGCTGCTGGAAATGACAGCGCATCAATGTCAAGTCCTTGTATTGTCTTGGCATTTCTAAATTTCTTGGAAAAAACTAATAGAAAAGCTAGGTAGTGTGTGCATATTGGGAAGGTATGAAAAGGGAAAAGGAAATTGGCTCATCAGGACTATTTTACATTATTTTTTAATGCACGTCTGAAGAATGTCTGCTGTAAAATAGTGGTTTCCTGAATGCCATAAATCTTCTTGTTTTGGCAGCCTGTCTTAATTGTTCCGAGCTACGAGTTATTCGTTCAAGATATATGTTCTTAATAGCATTCGGTTGTGATTCTTAGCCTCGACGTGAGAGAGGTGTGCAGCTCTGTGAGCCTATGCTCTGCAGAAGTGTGTCCATATAAAACTTCTGTATGAGCTGTGATTCATGAACTGGGATTGTTTAATGGTCTTCCTCAGAGAGCTCTAATGATGTTTTCTGTACCAAATGTGAGTGTGTATCAGAGATAGAGAGGGAGATTTATGAGGTTTGAAGAGGTGGACTTCAAAGCCAAGGAGACTATCTGGAAATGTGCCCTTTCCATTGAAGTTGCAAGCTCTGCGAGGGCAGCCGAATCCTGCCATGTTGCATGGATGGCTTCAAGCGCTTTGCAGTACGTGAGCCCCGCAGGGAGCCGTGTTGATGCTCCTGCTGAAGAAGAAGCAGGACTTGGGCTGCAGAAAAAAAGGAGAGAGCAGAAAACCCTTGGAAGTAGGAGAAGATGAGAGCAGGCTGTATCGGCGTTGAAGGGGGAGGTGCAGTTGTCCCATACGCAGGCAAAGACAATTCAAGGCTTTTGAGTAGTTCATGTGTTGCAGACTCCCCTGTCCTAAGAGAAAGTTTATCAGCCATTAGGTTCCTCCCAGCGTTACTGCATGTATCCCACTCCCAGCAGTGGTGCAGGTGGGCCTGAAGCTTCTGAGACAATCCATGGAACTGGGATGAGGACAGGATGCATTGACAACGGCCTCCTGCTTTGCCTTGTCCTAGAGGCACGGAAAATGGAGGCTCTTAGAGCAGGCCGGCTTTTATCATCTTTTTTTCGTGTGTGTTTTCTGGTTTTCAGCAGATTTTCTCTTTCTTTGCACAGCAATAGAAGATTTTAAAATGACAGGAACATCCATCATTAATTATTTTAATGCTACATGAGCAAGGAGTAGCTTATTATCTTTTTTTTTTAACGTATGGGAAAGGTGATAAATTTAAAGCACAGAGCATGCTTGACCAGTTAAGGTCAAGCTCAGTAGGAGGCTAAGAAAAGCTAAAAATGAATAAAAATAAAGAGGAGGAGGGGAGGGGAAAAAAAAAAAAAAAAGGCTAAAATAATCCAGAGTCAGACTATAAACTAATTATCAAACATGAGGTCAGAGGAAAAATGTTTCCTGAAGGGTTGGTGAGCCGCTATCTGCTAGGAGAGTTATATTTTACACAGCAATGCCACAGAAGGTATTTGGCTCTAGCAGGCATTAATCTCACCCGGTAAAGCAAAGGTTTTGTTCCTGCCACTGCAGCAATACCGAACAAATTGATCCAGTGGCTTTAAACAAGGCTAGAACATGTGTACTCTGAGCTCAGTCACTCGTGTTGCTATCTTACGTAATTATGGCTTATGATATCGATTTCTGTAAAGGTCTCACCATCAGAGCTAACGGTCCTCTTGCAGCGACCTACTTAAACTTCGCTTTAGACTCTCAGCTGCTATCTAGCAGCTGGGGGAGTTGACTGAAGATCCAGCCTCTTTCATCGCAGACCCTATAGATTAATGGCAGAAAGGTCCTTAAATCTCAGTTGCGTTAACACACCTTCTTACAGCCTAAAGAGAAAGGGGTGACAGCCTGGCTGCTTTTGTAGTTGAAAGCAGGGAAGTTGGAGTCCCCACCCCACGGGACTTCATTAATACTTCTCCCAGGTGAACTTAGTCCCTCACAAAAGGGCTCTTTGTATTTTGTCTTTAACCAGCTCTTTGTTTGGGCAGATATCCAGGCCAGTAAGAATAAAATGTCAATATTCTTTGTTGAATCAGTGGCTTATTCGTGCTCTAAGTTTCAAAAGAAAAGAACAAAATGGCAGTTTCAGAGATACCGTGGTTATAATTGGACATACATATATATGCGCATGCATTTATTTCTGAACGAGGTACACGGTTGACTTTGAAAGATGCAAATTTCAGAGAGGAAAATGAAACATTTTAGCAACATTATTTCATTTAAAGTCAAAAGTGCCTTGTACATATGGACATGAGCCATAAATAGCAGAGTACTTGCAGTCCTTATTTACAGCAAACCTAGCCCAAAGTTGCTGCTAAACCACTAGACTTGATTTTAGTATTTTTATTACATGGGTGTGGCTATGAATGAAAGGAGAATGAAGACTTCAGTTAATCCATACATCTTTTCTTGAGGGTAGAAGTTAATGGTGCAGTTGGGACTGTATGGGTACCAGTGAGTTGTTCTTGAAGGGTTCCCACCCCTTGTTCCACAAGCCTCAATTCTGTTTGCTTCTCTTTTGTCCTTCTATTGATAACAGTTATCTCCTGAAGTCTTATATAGCTAGTATATTTTGGAAGAGTGGAGGTGATTGGGGAGACTGAAAATGGGCAGCTTGTTGTTGTACTGCCAAGATTAAAGGCCAGATACTGGACCTTATAGAGCTGCTGGTGGAATCATGTCTTGTGTTATTTGAGCATTTATGTCTTGAATGTAGTTATTCTGTTAATGCAGAAGGTAGGGGAATGCCCCTATGCTATGGTAATGGCATCAAAGCATGTAAGGGGAGCTAGATTCAGTGTCATTGAAAAATTTAGGTGCCTATGGGCAGGACAGGGCAATGAATATGGCAATTTAAATTTGACATTAGGGTCCTATTTCCTGGGCCAGTTTTCTCTCTAACAAATCATGCATTAACCACGGATAGTTTCAGACAAGTACTTTCTTGCAGTGAGACTCAGCTCTTTAATGCAGACGTTTATGTAAATGTCAGCCTTGTTTTTCCCCTGGTGAACTTGTGCTGTCCATAGTGATAAACGAGGAAGAAGTAGGAAAACTGCTGTTGCTAGGTTTTCATTTCTAAATTTGAATAGAGAACATTTTTATCATTCTCTGGGAAAGACCATCAGTATCTAAATATGGACTTTATTTATTCCTTCCCTTTAGACAAGCATACAGAAACAAAGCTCGTCACCTGCTATGTTTTGCTCCATCCATCTGATATGGAGCTGAGATCCATCAGTGATGTATCTTCTACAGAGCAAAAAAGAGGCGAGAGGAAATAAAATTTATCAAAGACCCAAATAACTTGCATTTACTTCATCATGCCAGAATGTAAACTGAAGTGAGTCTTTGATGTTACACGTACAGATGTTGTAGTTGACATATCTTGTGGCAGGCGCCAAGTAAGAAGTGACTGAACTACAGGAAGTTGAGTAGACCACAAGCATTCAACACAACAGGGTTGGCCCAAAGCTGTAACCTAGAAAAACACAATGAACCTACTTGATTCTTAATTAAAGCAGTGCTTTCCAAGATATGGTGGAAAACTGGTACTGTGCTCAAACTTCCATTTTAGTTTCAATTATTGAGGCTATTGATGACTTGGGGTCAGTAGCCAATGCACAGGCACCCACACAAAAGAAAAGGTGATGTATTTATTGCAATCTGTCTTCTGTGATAACCAGGCATTTTCTTAAAGAGCTACTTTTTAAAGCTAACACATGTCTGTTGTTTACCCATAAATTTAGTCTTTGTTTAATTGACTAGACAGAGACTCCTCTTTCACAGTTTTTCTGCTCTGTGTTTTTGGAGTATTTACGAGCAAGGAGGTTACTCTTCTCATAGAAATAGACCTTTGCAGTAATTTTTTTTTATATATTTAATCACAGATTCTTGCCCCTATATGTTTTAACCTTAGTACTAAAATGAGTTTTAAATCAACAAGTTCTCATCAGTTACTGTTCTTGTAAGAGTTCTTTCTTGTCTGGTAGTTGAATGTTCAGTGATAGAAAAGCAGGAGTTACACTGTAAATGAGTAAAAGGTTCTAAACAACTATGTAAGACTTCTGGGTGCAATTCTTGAGCTTACAAAATCAAGATCTTTCCATAAGCAACTATGCAGAGCTTGGGAAGACTGTCTGAAACAAACTCCTTTCAAACACAAGTGCAAGCAAGAGCTGCAGATATGCTGCCTACTGAAAACCCAGCATCAGCCCCATGCATGAACAAGTTGTGTGTGATAGATGTGGTCAGACTCTGTGGTGGGCATTGGGAAAACTGTAGCTGTTTCCTCAATACAGTGCTTTGACCTATGGTGATTTTGATGCTGACAGCAAGTTGCTCTAACTCTCTCAGACTTGATAAACAAAGTTCAAGGTGGTGGGAGAATGTCCAGCGTATTGGGAGCAAATTATTATAAAACTACGTATGTAAGGATACGTGCAATCTGTCAAGAAATCTAGTACAATAGCTGTCAAAT